TTCATCAAGGACAGACAAGAGCGGCGATACAGTCAAAAGACTTGACACAAGAATTTCTAAGAAACAGATGGCCTCCTCGCCAGTCCCGAGGCGGTCTGCCTTCCGGCTGCGCAAGTTCATAGGGCTGTTGGAGAGGCGACGATCTTAAAAAAGTTGCAACGCAGCTCGCTACAACTAGAGCTGCAAATAGACCTTTTATATATGGGCATCAATCCTTCTTCGCTGCATGCGCTAGCGCTTCAGAGAATTGTTGAGCACCCAATTGGCCCTTCATTGAAACCCTACACGGAAGTAGAAATGCGTGTATGAACTTCACGCAGAGAAGGCCACCCGGAGGCCGCCGGTCTTAAGCCGGCTGGGGTCTGGATGTAGCTAGCTGCATTTTGGGATATTTTTCCACCAGTAGGTCTACTCTGTTGCAGCCCCCAATGGTCTTCAAAGACGGTTGAAGACTCGCGGTACCTACTTCCAGCACCAGCCATAAGCCTATGTGCCGCTGTGCGCAGGAATCAAAGAGACTGAAGGGGAGGACAGGCGTGCTTGGAAAGTCTGGTTTAAAGTATTTTGACGCTGCTGCAGCTCACGATGATAGTCGGCTCGGGCGACGACTGTTGTTACACCTGCCGCTCCCGCGTATGTAGTAGCGAACTCCTGCAAGCGTGTACATCCTACAGTTTCATTTAACAGTTCCCCGTATAATGTACACACTCGCTTTGGGGTGCCTTTAGTAACGGAAGTGAACTACCTGTTTTTGTTGCTCGCCAAACACTGAAATACTTCCTACGGGCCCGAAGCTTTCCACAAAATATATTCAAGTTAATATTGGCCACTAATGTTCCAGGACGATTCACATTTAATACTTTCTTAACAATCAACGGACTGGCACGGCGCTCCCTGCGCTCAACAGCTCTCGACACGATCACGGTGTAGCGGACACATGCAACGCTGCGTCCGCGCGTCTGCTTCCATGCACCTCCAAAATACGGCTTATTTGCAGAAGCCTTGTATATGACAGTGGAAGCAACGACTTTTTCTGCAATGGGGTGAAAAGAATACCTGGTTGTGAGTGTATCGTGTGGGTCAGCCGAGCGCGGGCAGGGGGGCCGTGAGTGACTTTCTTAATCTGCCTCCCAGTATCTGTGCGGACTGCTTCGTACCATACGTGTACGGCCCATGAGAATTTGAAGTAACTGCCTGGAGATCCAGGGATAATATCTTCATCCTCCCGTTTTTTCCGTCGTGTAATCCGGCATACACCGTACAGACCACACAGGACCATGGGAGCTATGGCGTGCAGCAGATGAGGCAAAGGATAGCAGGGTAGAGACAAACGAAACGTGTTAACTTCAGTCCCTAAAGAACAACTCTACGGCAACCCCAACGATTCCTTTTCCTGGGGGGCGCCGAATAGCTCCCGTCCACAATGACGCCAAGATACCCTCCCGTAGATGCGGCTCGGCAGGGATCGTTGGCCATTTTATTACCCTCCACCCCAAACACTTCATTTGAAAGCGTTGACACCGTTTCTCCGTCGAACACGGGCCAGAATAGGGCTAGGGATGGACGCAAGTTCCTACGACGACGGCAACGTCGAGACAAGCTTTTAGTAGGAGCTGTGGCGTCAATAGTTTCACTTGTGGCGATTTTGGCCTTGTTGGCTTTGTGCCGGACCAGCCAAAGGAGACTAAAATCCGGAGGAGCAGTACGACGAAACCTNTGTCGAGTATTGTAGAGCAATGCCTGGAATTGGAGGAGGAGCTTGGCCTCAGGCAAGCTGCTTCTCCACCTACTGAGGAGGCGAGCGAAGCAAATGCTAGGCTCTTCGCCATGCTGTATGAGTCTGCGTCAGCTTTTGAACGGATGCGGGCCTTTGATTCCCAAGGGTTGCAAGGTGAAGCTCACTCGCCTCCATCTAAAGTTCCTCGGATTAGTGAGTCAGGCGAGTCATCCCTGGGGTCGTCGACGTCTCTTGGGGCACTTTCTCCACACGCTAGTGGAATGTCAATTGGCGGAGCAGTCAGTGCTTTGGACGCAGATGCATGGGTGGGGGAGGAGCCTGGGGTGGTCTTTGACGAAGGCAAGCGGGAACAGGCCACGGCAACACAGAACGTAGTGCAAGGGCTTCAACCGGACCTATCCTCAGGTCGAGCACGTCTGCCGGCATCTTATGAAACAGACCCCAATGCTAGGCCGTCGGTTTCTTTTTCGTTTGGCACGGCAGATGGAAGTGAACACTCTTTGACTTCTGCTGCCTGGCTCGATGGCTCCTTGGCGAGCAGGTCTCCAGAAGCTGTCCCCCGCAGGGTCGTGACAACCCTTTGGCAAGTCCCTACGTTGGAAATGATTTCAGCAGCTTCCACCAGTACACGTCCTGTGCAAAGGTCCAGTAGACTTACAGGTAGATTCAGTTACATGTCCTCTGATCAGGAGATTGAACTGCAGTCAGTTCAAATGGAAACAGCGCAACAGCTTCAACAGCCGGGAGGCGGAACAGACGCTGTTTTGGGTGCCAGCAGTGGAGGCCGGGCACCCTGTGTGGGTGGGCACATTTGTCAGCACCCTTTTGTGCGGCTGCCAGCGGTGAATCCGGACGATGTTCACAGGACGTTCCGTGACGAGTTCATACNTGAAGATGCGCACTTTGTTTGCTAAGCCTTCGCTTGACGCCCATGAAGTGGAGGAACTCATGAATGCAGCCGAGCTATTGGCAAACTATGCAGCACACAGATTGGCAATGCCATGTAGTAGATGCACGGCTAGCTACTTGCTTGTGAAGCTGTCGTCTTTGCTTATGGCATTTGACTACCTGGTTTGCGCAGCTGAGCTCCTAGGGGAAAAGATGAATACCGGCAAATGGTGGCCTGAATTTGTGCAACTGTTCCGCACGGATTATCGCCTTTCTGAAATAGGAGGAACTCGCGTAGGAAGAATGCGGAAAAGGCTGGTCAATCGATTGAGTGCTGCACTGGCAATATATAAGCAAGGAAAACGCCCAGCACCCAAGGAAATCATTGAGCTGAAGAGGGTCGGTCTTACCCAGGTCTCCAAAGACAGCCACATGTCGCATCGGCTGTGGCAGCTCTGGATACAGGATGATAAGGATTTCACTTACTCTAGTAGTGGTAGTGAAAGTTCTGACAGTCAAGCGGACGATGAACGAGAAGCAAAACTACCATGACATTACATTCAAGTGGTCGCCTATTTCATCACGGACTTGTTTTTGTGTATGCAGCGGCCTGAAGCTTGTCAGAATGCCATATGTTTTCTGGGTAGAATGCTACCAAAGATAACCGAAATTGTATATGCGTGCTATTATGCTTGTTTATCGGGTTTATCTGCACTTGTTGGTGATGTTCCTAGCAACAAGTGGTGCTGTAAAGTCAGCCTTCGACTTCCAGTCTTTTTTTTGGAATGGCTTCTTACCCACAAGCTGTAAATGGTTTGCTGTCATTTGAGCCCGCCGGCAGGCAGAACGCGGGAGTTATTTGGATTACCCACGCAGTTCTAGACGAACACAAGCATTTGCCTGCTTTGGTTCATACAGATGTTGCCTCCAGGCCAGTCCGTGCTGGGAGACACCTAAGGTGTCTCCGGACGAAAAGGGAGCGGTGACCACAAATATGGTTCAGTAGTGGTGAAACTACTTCTGAGCTTTCTTGCTAATGACAACAGTACCCACGGTGCAAACTCAGCCACTGCATCGAACAATAAGGGTGATGGTTCCTTGATTGGCAACCCATTGCCGAGATTTTTTCTAGGAAACACTAATTCGGGCCGCCTAGGGCTTAACACTTTCGACACCGTTTTAGCCTAAAAAGGCATTGTCAGTTTAACGTCATTTCGAATGTTTAGATGCGCAGGGTTCCCGTCCCTGAATAGGTTTGGCGTTTCCAATATCAAGTGCGTGCTTNTCGAATGTTTAGATGCGCAGGGTTCCCGTCCCTGAATAGGTTTGGCGTTTCCAATATCAAGTGCGTGCTTGCCGCTGCTCTGCCCAGCGGTAGACGGAAGCTGCAGACATTAGAAGAGGATACCAGGCACCATGCTCCACTGCCACTGTAGTATCGTTTCTGAGGTGGTACGTGTACTTCGGCTTGAGTCCGGGATACTGGGGCCAGAGAAAATGCTTAGCAATCGTCTACTGGACTAGTCCATACATCAGATGGAAGCATAGGCATGATTGCTTCAGGGGGTACCTTCCAGCAGGCGTTACGGCAATGCGTGTCGCAGCTCACGACCGGCCACCTCCTTCCACCGCCAGCCCCAAGCCCTTGTGCCTCTGTTCCCAGGGGGCCTAGATGTTGATATGGATATCTGGTGCGCTTGAGAGCGTTGATTTAAAGCATTTTGACTCTTGCAGCTCACGAAGATAGTTGTTGTCTGGGGCCGTCTACTTCCACCTGTCGCACCCGTGTGTGTTGCTATTGCTAACTCCTGCAGGCATGCATATCGTGCACTCCCATCAAAATCTTCCTCTTGCAGTGTACAAATTCATCTTGGCACTTATTTAGTACCAATGAATTGAATTTTGATTCTCTTCTGCTCCCCCACTTGCTGCGGAACACTTTCATAGGTCCCAAAGTTTTCACGAAATATGCCAAAGCTCATCTTGGCAACTAACNTTGCTGCGGAACACTTTCATAGGTCCCAAAGTTTTCACGAAATATGCCAAAGCTCATCTTGGCAACTAACACGTCAGTAAGACTCATCTTGAATACTTTCTCGTCAACTGACTGACTGGCGTAGCACTTCGTGCACTCGATAGCACAACAGGAATACGGTGTAGACGGAGGTTGCGGAGTCGAGAGTTTGCAACGCCCAAGGTGGGGCGACAGCGTTTGTGAACATACACGGCTACAGACTACAGGTAGAAAACATAGAGGCAGAGAATAGCACTTGAATTTTCATTTACATCTACTATTTCTGTGTTTGTGTTTCTCCTAAGCTCCACGCAGTTGCTGCGCGTGTTCGCTGGCCCCTCAGAAGTCGATGCGGGAAACGATTCTCGCGGACAGACTCAAGCAATACATCAGCAATTCTGCTTTGATGCATATCCCCATTAGCAGAAGCATTGTGCATGAAGCATCAATTTTCGGTGCAATGGAATAGGAGGCATACATTGACCATGAATGCATTCAGTGGGTCCGCCGCTCACCGGCTACTGCGGCTACAAGTGACTTCCTCAATCTATCGTTCGTTTTCACCGGCGATTGCTCCCTAACATACATTTTTCCACTACCGATGAGAATCTGAA